CTACTGCAACACCACAGATCTGCCCCAAAAATTGCATACAGACGGAATAGATATTCTGAGTTGGTCTAGTTTAAAAACCTATTTTGTAACGATCTTGTATAATGCCTAGTTAAATAGCTTTAACATTAATTGTTTAATTATTTAACAACCCCTTAGGCACCACCGCTCCTCAATATATATAGTTATATAAAGTAAAGAGACAATGGAATTTTCAGTGCTCCTCACACTGTTGTATTGATATAATTTGCTTTGGTTATATTTTAAAGTAATATTGGAAAGCACTATTTTGCGGAGATAAATCGTGGGAGCTGATAGGATTATATTTATTCGTTTCGTATTTTATATATATATCTTTGAAATTCGAAAGAAAATTTGCCGGCTGGTGAAACTTCCATTCATTAGTAAACGATATTTCCTGGAGTTTTATTTTTACAATCGCTCACCGTACAATAAATGATTTCTTGATAACAGATTCTGTCTTACACACCTCTATGATCCTAACATGTGCCTTGAATGAGAATGACAATTGTTTCTTACGCTTCACTTATAACGGCGTCACGGTGTGCAAATAATCTCAAAATCAGGCCATCGAAATTAAACCGGCATCGCTTTGTCAAACTATAAAAGCTCGTTTTTCTTTGAAATAACGTTTTGTATATTATTAACTCAAAGAATTACTTCCTCGATACATCTTTAATGATTGCTTATGTTATACTTATATAAATCCAGTTAAAATTTTCGAAATTTGTTTTGAATATTTTTTTAAAAAAATAAATAATGAAAATGCTAGTCAGAATCTTAATTTCGGAAACATATTTCATAACAATTTCGGTTGGAAATTCAATTTTTCAGACCATTGATACAAATATAAGGATATTACAAATTCTGTCCTCGCGTGCAATTTTGTTGAGCTTTAATGTATGTTATGTTTCATGTAGTCTGATACTATCCACGTGATATACTTATAAGTAAATTTATATTTTTTTACCAATCGTTTAGTTAAAAGAATGACATCTCTAAGATAATGCATTTTTCTTGTGCAAAAGCAATGCCCGTTACTCCTGGCCTATTCGTCGATTCAGTCGCTCGTTTACTTTCAATAGCCCATGTTTCCTATTGCGAAATAATTTTTAATGTTAGAAAGTTGTTCGCGTGATTTCAACTCCTTCTATCCGTTCAGTAATCACGCTATTTCTTCCCAGCTCTATTATTAATTTAAACTAGTTTTTAGTCCAGACATGTGATTTTTCAGTATTTTTACTGAATTCAGTAATTTTTGAAGGGTATTTTCAGTATTCCTATGTGTTAATTCTTTAGATCTTCAAAAAAATGTGTTGATAATTTGTCATTTCCATATCATTTCACTATTTTTTATCAGAGTTGGGTATATTAATTTCCTCTTCGATACACATTCCTGTCTCTTTTAGGTTATTTGTTTTCCTTTGGTGTATGTATATATATATATATATATATATATAT